TAGCAAAATGTGGCAACAGTTTACTCTCTAGTGGTAGAGTGGGTGAGTAAATAGCCTTAGATTGGAAGAATAAATAGCTTCTTGGTTAACAGGAGAGTAGATAAATAAATACAATGAAATTTTATACATTGGTTACATCAGATAACTAGCAAACACAACAGTGTGGATGAATCTCAATAAAACAGGTCCCAAAATAATACATATATCCTGATACTCTTTTTTATTTTTTTTTTTAAAGATTTATTTATTTGAGAGAGGGCATGCAAGCGGAGGGAGGAGCAGAGGAAAGGGAGAGAGAGAATCCTTAAGGAGACTCCCTGGTGGGGTGGGTGTGGGGCCCAACACTTCCTCTATCCCAGGACACTGAAATCATGACCATGACCTTAAGAGTCCGTTGCTTAACTGACTGAGCCAGCCAGGGGGCCCACATCATACCCTTTTTTAAAGCTAAGAGCAATTAAAATAAAAATATACATAAGAATATGAATTTTACGTATATATGAAGACAGGGGGATGCACACATATATACATATATAAATAAACTGTATAAAGGAGAAAGCAAGGGAAGCAGGAAAGGGATTCAGGATGATGGGTAACTTGTTGAGGCAGTGGGAGGGGGAAGATTACTCCACTGTATGGTTAGATGGAAGGTATTGTTGAGGTCCTAGGTTTTTTGTTTGGGTGATGGGTTTGTAGGTGCTTATTATAATATTAAAAATAGTAATTAACTAAATAAAAGTATGCTATTCAAGGACCAGTAAAGACAGGTGCCATGAACCAAAGATAATGATTACTACATTTCTTTAATAACTGATTTCTAAATAAAGAAACATATTATTCTGTATACGCAGCTATAGAAATAATATTTTGAAATCTCTATGGATATAACCATCAAAAAGGCATACTCATGAATACTGACTTTTGCTTAACTTTGGAAAGATTTTTCCTGAGTTCTATATGCTATATAAATGGATATTGCCTAAAAATGCGTATAACTTGGTCAGCTGGAGAATGCTTGAGGTTTTTGTGGATATTTGAATTTTATTTTATTAATTAGAAATACTTGTTTCTGAAAAAAATTTTTAAAGCACGTTAGTTTATTATTATATTAAATACATGAATTTCATGATTGGATTTCTTATAATGCTTCAATGCGATTATTATTTTGGAGGGCACAAAAATTTGGCTTACTTGGCTAGATTTAAGAACATAATCCTGGAATTGGCCTTTTTCTCTAAGTCCCAATATGAAGCTGGATTTGGATTTCTTTATTTTAAAAATCATGTTTTCTTTTGTCTCGGCCTCATTCTGGTTAATTGACATTTTATTCATTGAATTTTTGTTGTATTGTTGCAGTAATTTCTGTTTCAGATTATTCTGGTTTTCCTCCAAGATGCTCACATTATTTAAAAGTGCTACTTTATATGTTTACTTAAATGCCTACTTGGTTACAGATACTTTGCTAGATCCACACCCAATCATTGTCTAATCACAAACTGAGACACATGTTCTGAAGCTAACAATGCTTTTGTGTAAGCAAAAAGGGCTGACCTGGACTTAAAGAAGTGACTTTAAGCAAAGCTAGAAAGGATGACTGGCAGACTGTTAAAGGGCGGAGTACAGGTCAGGTACGGGATTCAGGTTAGCAGAAACTGCTTATACCAAGATGCTGTGGCAGAAGGAAATGCAGTACAATTAATGAGTGAAAGAAAGAAATACGCAGGGCAACGGTGGGACATCAAAGAGGAAACAGTACAGACTCAGGCAGGGGCCTGATTCACTCGGGACCAAAGAGCAATGGGAACCCCCTGAAGATTTTTCATTAGGAGACTACTGAAGAACAGATTCATATTTTGAAAAGAATTATTGTCTAATATGTGTCTTCCTGAATAGGCTGTAGGCTCTACAAGTAGAAAGAGGAGCTGTCAATCTCATGAAGTACAATACAAGTAGGTTTTCAACGAAGAGTAGATAGCACTATTTAATAGCTCAGTGTCTGGCACATGGCAAGTACTCAGTAATGCTGGCTGTGGTTTTCATTGCTCTAGATTAGCCTTTGACATGGACAGTGGCTACTGTGGAGTTAGAGGTTTCATGAAATAGTTCAGTCCAAAAGTATCCACTGAAGACCTGTGATATACTTGGAAGAATCAACAGCTAAATATATTAAAATTTCATCACTTTTTTCTCATAAGCCCAAAGATGTAACAGGGTAGAAAAAGTGATGGAGAATTCTGTTAATAAATCAGATTAGCCTACAGTTAGGTGACTAGGTACTCCTGCTTCGCACAATTCATTTTTTTCAGTTAGAGTTTGGTGCCTGGTTAGATTGCTTTTATAGAACCATTTCTTCTGGAGTTCTCAGGTAAAATTCCCTTTTCATAGTTCATCTGAAGTAATTTCAAGCTTATTCCTCAGTTATGTTAGTTTATTTTATATAAAGGGAGTTACCTTGTCATTTTTCATCCCAAAGACTGAAGATTGCTATTAGAAATATTTCTTCTGAAACTCTATAATCATTTTCATACTATACCTTTAATATTTCCTTTTTTTAAGTGTTCATACATGATGTGTCTTTTCTTAAAATGTGCAGTATGTAGTTATATCACCAATGACCTGGCCCTTTTTTCTTTTCTCTTTAATAGTAACTAGAACCACCATGTAGCACATAATTGTTGTTGTGCATATTAATTAAAGGTACCCCATCTGGGTGGACTAATTTACCAGAAAGGTCCCCTGCTTCTGAGACCTTCTAAAGGGTGACATCAGGGTCACTTTTCAGCTCCTTTTCTGCCTTCGCTGGGTGCCTGTAAGCCATGCAAAAACTACATACTTTGTGTCCCTAAATAGTAACTCAGTATAAGATAGATATTGCTTATAATCAACCAGATTATAGATAATCCTTTATAAACAAAGCAAACTATTTAAAAAGTCAGTCAGTTGTTCATTTATGTGTGTTAAATGTAACCTTCAGTTAAAATATTAATTGTGGGCGCCTGGGTGGCTCAGTGGGTTAAGCCTCTGCCTTCGGCTCAGGTCATGATCTCAGGCTCCTGGGATCGAGCCCCACGTCGGGCTCTCTGCTCAGCAGGGAGCCTGCTTCCTCCTCTCTCTCTGCCTGCCTCTCTGCCTACTTGTGATCTCTGTCTGTCAAATAAATAAATAAAATCTTTAAAAAATAAAAAAAATAAAATATTAATTGTACTTAATTTGTTTTTAAAACTTAGGTAAAATTGGATATATGGGGGGGAAGCTGTCTTTTAAGAAAATTTTTTTCAAGGGCCTCCTGGGTGGCTCAGCGGGTTAAAGCCTCTGCCTTCGGCTCAGGTCGTGATCCCGGGGTCCTGGGATCGAGTCCCGCATTGGACGCTCTGCTCAGCAGGGAGCCTGCTTCCTCCTCTCTCTCTCTGCCTGCCTCTCTGCCTGCTTGTGATCTGTCTGTGTCAAATAAATAAATAAAATCTTAAAAAAAAAAAAAGAAATTTTTTTTCAAATATAGCTAAGAGTCTTTTTTTTTTTTTAAGAGTCTTACTTTTTAATGGTCTCAGCTTTAAATGCCTAGAAGTAAGTTTAAAAAAAAATACATTCATCTGTCTACTTAATTTCTTACTATGGAACTTTTTTTTTTTTTAAGATTTATTAATTTGAGAGAGAAAATGAGAGGGAGCACGGGGGAGGGGCAAAGGCAGAGGGAGAGAGAGAAGCTGAAGCAGACTCCATGCTGAGCCTGGAGCCTAATGCCGGGCTTGATCTCAGGATCCTAAGGTCATGACCCGAGCTGAAACCAAGAGTTGGTTGCTTAACCAACTGTGCCACCCATATGCCCCACCCATTATAGAATGTTTTTAATATATACAAAAGCAAAGTGATGAAGCCTCATGTATCTTTCACTTGGCTTCAGCAGTTGCCAGTGTATTGTTTTATCTGCTTCTTCCCTCTTCTCCCATCACAAATTATTTTGAAGCAAATCCCAAATATTACTATTTTAATCTGCAAACTCATCAGTTTCTACTCTGAAACATACCCTTCTTTAAATTTTAGTAATACAAGCACAGTTCATTATCACACCTTAAAAAATTAATTAATAATATCAAACATCCACTCAGTATTCAGACTTTGTTTTATAAGTGGTTTAAAGCTGGTTTGTTGGAGTCAGAATCAAAATAAGTCTTGGGGCACTTGGGTGGCTCAGTTGTTACACATCCAACTCTTGGCTCAGGTTGTGATCTCAGGGTCCTGGGATCCAGCTCATGGTTGGGCTTTCACTCAGGGTGGAGTCAGCTTGAGATTCTCTCTCTCTCTGTCCCTTTGCTCCTCCCCCTGGCACATGGGCCTGTGTGCGCGAGTATGCTCTTTCTCTAGAATAAATAAATCTTTAAAAAAAATCAAAACAAGTCTCTTTGCAGTGTGATAGGTCAATATGTCTCTTGATTTACTATAAATCTATAGCTTCCCTTCCCCCTTTCCTTTTCTCACATTTTATTTGTTGGAGAAATTGTCATTTGACCACTTTCTGCATTTCACTGATTAAATCTCTTGTGGTATCATTTAGGCTTAGCAAGAATATTTTTAAATTATGTTTAAATATGATACCTGATCTCTATGGACCATAAAAATTTTTTTGTTTAAATGGAGAAATGAATGCTTAGTTATTGAAGAATGAAGGATTTCAAAGATTTTGTAAACAAAGGGAGGATCTGAAGAGAAGTCCATAAGCCTCAGAAAGCAGAGAATTTTGTAAGGCTATGTTTATATCTCTGTGATTGTTTTGATAACATAATTTGTTGCTATCTTAAAATATTATAAAACATTGGAATACAAAATTGTGGCAATAATATTACTAGCTTAATTTTTTAAAAACTAACATCTTTTAAATCATTTTTTTAAATTTATTTTCAGCATAACAGTATTCATTGTTTTTGTACCACACCCAGTGCTCCATGCAGTCCGTGCCCGAAAACTAACATTTTTTTTTATCATTTTTTACATTTACAAAAAAGATACCAGGTGATCAGCACTCCAACAGATTTTTTTATGGTAATGGAATATGTGTCTGGTGGTGAATTATTTGACTACATCTGTAAACATGGACGGGTGAGTAATTTATTATCTAGTACAATAAGCCCCTAAGCTAAGAAGAGGATAGTAGGAAATAGCAAACCACAAAGATATCTTCAAAGTCAGGGTTGCTTCTGTAATAAAGACCAACTAAAGATACAGAATATTAGACATTTTTTCTTTCTTAAAAAATATACCTTTCAGGAGTGCCAGGCAGGCTCAATTGGTGGAGCATGGACTCTTGAATTTGGGGTTGTAAGTTCAAGCCCCACACTGGGTATAGAGATTGCTTAAAAATAAAATCTTAAAATAATATACACTTTTTGGGACACCTGGTGCCTCATTTGGTTAAGCATCTGCCTTTGGTTCATGTCATGATCCCGGGGTCTTGGGATGGAGACCTGTGTCGGGTTTCCTGCTCAGAGGGGAGACTGCTTTGCCTTCTGCCCCTCCCCCTGCTCTCTTGCTCTCTCAAATAAATAAAGAAAATCTTAAAAATATACATATATACCTTTCAAAATACTGATTTTGGGACCCTAGGTGGCTCAGTCATTAAGCGTCTGCCTTGGCTCGGGTCATGATCCCAGGCCACATGGGGCTGCCTGCTCAGAGGGAAGCCTGCTTCTGCCTCTCCCCCACACCTCTGTATTCTGTCTCTTGCCATCATTCTGGCAAGTAAATAAAATCTTAAAAAAAAAATAGTGATTTTAAGGAACATACTCCACTTAATTGCCAACATGATGTCAGTGAAAAATCTGTTCCATAACATTATGTTGAAGCTTCAAGGATTTCCTTTTCTTAGCACTTTCACATAAGTTCTGTTTTACATTATGTTTTACTTGTTGATTGCCTAAAACATTGTACAAATTTAGTAATATTAATTGAAAATTAAATCTTCCTAGCCTAGGAGCAAATAAAGAACCTTATTGATTGACATCTTGAACTCTAATGCAAATTTCTGGTTTGTTTGTCTGATTTGTTGAGAATTCTAGCCTGATTTAATTAGCTTGCTCAGTTACATTTGGGCTGATTATGAAACTAAAACTCTTGCTATGTACATGTCTCAAATATTCTTAGTGCAGCTTCTTTTATACTTGCTAGGTTGAAGAGGTGGAAGCAAGGCGGCTCTTTCAGCAGATTCTGTCAGCTGTGGATTACTGCCATAGGCATATGGTGGTTCATCGAGACCTGAAACCAGAGAATGTGCTGTTGGATGCTCACATGAATGCCAAGATAGCCGATTTTGGTATGTAACTCCATAGTTGTTCAGAAATGTACTAGTTGCCTTTTAAAGTGTGTCAGTAGCAACTATTGAAGAACTATGAACTTGTAGTTTCAATTTTATTAATCTGATACCACGAAAAAGGGGTTAATGCACAGTCTCCATGTTGGTTTGTTAGGTTCATTTAAACACAATTTTAAAAATACACATGCTTCCAGAGAAGTTTAGAGGGCCAGTTTCAAGGTACATCCATTTAATATGCATTTTCTCCTAAAGGAAAACCTGTCTTTTTTTTGGAGAGGGGTCACAAACTCTTTTGAAAATATGGGCACTTCCTTTGATGAATGCACTTAAAGAGAAATACCTGAAAATTTGCGTGCAGTTTTGAAGAGTTACAGCCTTTCTCATTTGATCAAGGGTTGACTTCAGGGTAAAATCTAACTACTTGCTAAAAAGAATAGGAGTTTTTGTCAGGTGTAAAACAAAAAACAAAATGTAAATTTAAATGCACCAAACAGTTTCTGGGGTAAACATTCCTGGAAAGAGTACCATAGTAGGGTGTTTGGCAAAAGGATTAGGAAGTAAGAGGTTATAGAAAGAGAGATGGAAACGTGTCCGAGTTCAGTGTTGCTTATGTAAATTTTTTGTCTGTACCTTGTCTTTAATCTAAAAACTAGGAAACTAGTTTTCCTATTTCTCTTCCTTCTCTAAATCGCAAAGCTCTTTAGTATGATACTTCAACTAGATTTTTGGTTCCATAGATTATTTTTTCTATGTTGAATTCAAGCTTTCCAATCTAAAAGCTTTTTTAATGTAATCTTTATAAATTGGAGCTTGTCTGTTTTCTACTTAGAGATTGTTTAAAAAGGCTTTGAAAGTACAGGATAAAAAGTAATGGTCTCTATTTCTTTCTTTCAACTGTAGAAATGGATAAATAATATTTTGATGCTTTTATGTTTGGAAAAGTTCATGTAATTTAGAATAACCTCATATTTGTGAAGTGAATCAACATTTTTTAAAAAAGGTTAATTTATTTGGAGAGAGCACTAGTTGGGCGAAGGGCCTTGGAAGTGGGGAGAGAAAGAATCCCAAGCAGATTCTCCGTGAGTATGGAGCCCAACATGGGGCTTGATCCCACAACCCTGAGATCATGACCTGAGCCAAAACCAAGAGTCGGATGCTCAACCAGCAACCACCCAGGTGACCCAAGTGAATCAACATTTTTAGTTAGAAAAGGAATTTAATTCCAATCATATGTGATGTGCGTTATCTTTTTTGTCAGAGTGTAAGCACTCTGAAGTAGTCTTCTTCTAGTCTCTCAAGTGCTTGCCACTGTTTTAAAATAATTATAAAATATGATATACAAAACATTGAAGACTTGACATTTTTCTTCATGCATTTATCTATGTCGACGTATAAAAATAGCACAAAGTAAATATTACTCTTATTTTCAGGATTGTCTAATATGATGTCAGATGGTGAATTTCTGCGAACTAGTTGTGGGTCTCCAAATTATGCAGCACCTGAAGTCATCTCAGGCAGGTAATAATAGATCAGTGGAGAGAGTAAGCTCTTTATAATCTTTTGTTCATTCTAATAACATTTAATTAAAATATGTTCTGTTCAGAGGATGAGATTGTTAACATAATAGGAACAAATTATCCCTTTAATTTTTCCATTGTTGAAGAGAGAATAGTTATATTAAACAATTTTTTAAACATTTGGTTTAGATTTTGTAATGAGTATATTTAAGGAGTTCTTCCATTTAAAAAAAATGACTGAAACAAATCATGATTTTCTTCATTTTGGAAAAGTACGGATAAGAGAAAGCATTTGTTAAATTTAATGTCATCATTTACTTACCAGACACTGTCCTTAAATAATAATTTATATATTCTTTTATAAGGTACTGTATAGAGTATTATTTTATGTTTTGTCTTTAGAAGAATGAGATTTTTCAGGGACAGTATTGTCATTCCTGAAATTAAACTGTATAAGTAGGGATTGGAGCTTACTCATTGGTATATTAAAAAAATATTTATACAGAGTGCAGTGGTAAACAGAAGACTTTTCACAGTGACCAATGTCTGATTTTAAAAGTTAACAGAATTCGCTGAGAGAAAATAAAGAAAAGGTATTATCGCAAGGAGCAGGTATAGGAGTTTTGGACAAGTACTGCAAATGATATAAATGATGGACAGCAATTTTTTGAAATGGCTTATATTCTTTTAATTGGAATTGTAGAGATTTACTTTGTTACCTCAGACCCAGGTTTGAATTTGTCAGTGGGGTATCAGAGGCATTTTAGTACTGCAGAAAGGTGAGAGAAAAAAGGAATAATATTCCAGACATAGGTTATGTGGAGCAAAGCTAATCTTAGTCCCATGAGCTAATCTAACAAGTGATTAGAATGAAAGTCATACTCAGGATAACATGATACAGGACAAATACTGTCGAAGAGATTGCTGCAGGACTAGTTCAGCACTTTAATTCTTCAGAAACTCCTTAAAATAGGCATGTCAGGGATGAAAATTCTATTTTATATGCATTTTCTTTCTTATAGTTTTGTGGTAAAAGGATTTAGCCTAAACACTATAGTAGTATTTTTTCAAGTTTATGGTCATTTATTTTGATGTTTCCTTGGAAAAAACCAACCATAGTAAGTTTTATATTTTTTAATTAGTTAATTAGTAAGTTGTGAGTTTGTGACAAAGTAACACTTTCTTTTGGAAAGCTTGAATAGTAACTGCTGAGAGCAATTCTCTATGGCGAACAAGCATTGAGTGTTGAGGTGTGGCCAGGGACTTCATTAAAGGCTTGCAAATGAATATACACCGAATCTACATCATGTGTGTACAGAAGCAGGTATACTTGGATGAGAACAAATGGCACTTGCATTTCAGGTTGGCATTGTCATCTTTTCTCTTAGATTGTATGCAGGTCCTGAAGTTGATATCTGGAGCTGTGGTGTTATTTTGTATGCCCTTCTTTGTGGCACCCTCCCATTTGATGATGAGCATGTACCTACGTTATTTAAGAAGATCCGAGGGGGTGTTTTTTATATCCCAGAATATCTCAATCGTTCTGTTGCCACTCTTTTGATGCATATGCTGCAGGTTGATCCCCTGAAACGAGCGACCATCAAAGATATAAGGTGATTCTTCTTTTTGTTACTGTTATGTACATTTTATAATATTAATAATTGTATCACTAATTGAGTGCCTGCTTTATGTTAGACTCTAATACTTATTGTATAGGAATTCTGCTTTCCTTTTTACACAGACCTGATCATGTCACTTATCTTTTAAATATTTCAGATTGTTCCTCATACTTTTTCCTTGAGGTAGCAAATCCTCTAAGGCCCTTCCTAAGGAGGCTCCTTTTCCTGCTCTGAGGTTTTACTCCTGCTCTGAGGTTTTACTCCTGCACTCACCACCACACCCACTTTAGCTACACTCAGCTTTTCCTTCTTCATCAAACATAACATGTGTTTTATGCTTTCATGTTCTAATTTATATTACTGCCTCTGATGCCATTTCTGTCTCTTTTGACCTGACAGACTTCCATTCATCCTTTAAAATTCTGCTTACATATGACCCCCTTTGTGAAATCAATTTGGATTCCCCCTGGCAAAGTTAATTGCTTCCACTTCCGTGATTTTCAAATTTTGTTTATGGTTGTTGTTTTTTTTTCATTATCATTTCAAATGTCAGTGCGTATTTTTCCAGTCCTAAGTTGTAACTCCATAAGTGTAGAGAGAGTGTCTTTCTCATCTTAGTACACACAATGCTAGATGGCCCATGAATGTAGTATATGCTGAGAAACTGAATAAATCTTATGTGTAATACAGACTGACTTTTATGTATTTTATATATGGTTGATGAAATGAAACATTAAAAGTTTTGTTAAGATTTTTAATCCAAAAATAGCTGCTAGCACTGTGAAGGATTTCTTGTTATGTGAGAAACTTTGGAACTTGCAGCGGCTGGTGTTGTTGTGAATATGACCTTTATATAGCACACACAAGCCACGATAATGCATTGCCTTTTACTCTTTACTTACCAGGTTATGTTTCTTAGAGGTGTTTTTTTTTTTTTTTTTATTCTTACCTAACATTTCATCGTTTATTCATTTACAAACACATTCTTTTGCCATCTTTCCAGAATCTCTCCTCTTAATCTTCATAAGCCAGAATGGCTGTTTAGAGACTATGACTCCTGGAATGTTTAAATGATGACATGGTTTTTTTATGTGATTGCTGCTTATCTCTTAGACTGCAAGAAGGGGCTTATTTTTCTTAAGTGCTCCAGGCCTCCTACATAAAAGAAATCTGTAATTGTATATAGCACCAAGTTTAGTTATAGAAATGTACTTAGCAGGAAAAAAAAATCTTTTGTGTTCACAGTTCTTTTTTTTTTTCTTTTCTTTCTTTCTTTCTTTTTTTTTTTTTTTTAATAAATTCTACACCCAGCATGGGGCTTGAACTCACAACCTGAGTTCAAGTATCACATGTTCTACTGACCAAACTAGCTAGGTGTCTCAGTCACTTAATTGGCTTTTCCTTAGAAAGAAAATTAAATATGCTTCCTCTGAGTTATTCATTCTGTAAGTGGAAGCCTGCATCTCCCTCTCCCCTTCACCCATTTTGCCTGTCCCCCCAAACCCCCCTTCTGGCAGCCATTGGTTCTCTATAGGTCTGATGCTGCTTTTTATTTGTTTTTTCATATCTTTTTTTAAGATAAGTGAAATCATATGGTATTTTTTTCTCAGATTTATTTTACTTAGCACAGTACCCTCTAGGTCCATTCATTTTGTTATAAATAGCATAATCTCATCTTTTTTTAAGATTATTTATTTATTTGACAGACAGATAGCACAAGTAGGCAGAGAGGCAGGCAGAGAGAGAGAGAGAGAGGAGGAAACAGGCTCCCTGCCGAGCAGAGACCCCGATGTGGGGCTGGATCCCAGAATCCTGGGATCATGACCTGAGCCGAAGGCAGAGGCTTTAACCCACTGAGCCACCCAGGCACCCCCAATCTCATCTTTTCTTAAGGCTGCGCAGTACTTCATTGTATATGTAAACTACATGTTCCTTACCATTTGTCTGTTGCTAGACACTTAGGTGGCTTCCATATCTTAGCTATTGTATGTAAGTAATGCTGCAATAAACATATGAGTGCTTATATTTTTTTGAATTAGTGTTTTTGTTTTCTCTGGGTAAATACCCAGTAGTGGAATTATTGGGTCATATGGTATTTCTATTTTAAATTTTTTGAGGAACTTCTATACTATTTTTCACAGTGACTATACCAATTTACATTCCCACTAGCAGTGTGGAATTCCTTTTTCTCTGCATCCTTGTCAACACTTATTATTTCTTGTCTTTTTTATTTTAGTCCTTGGCAGTGTTAATTGTGTAACGTGATATCTCATTGTGGTTTTGATTTGCATGTCCCTGATTACAGTTGAGCATATTTTCATGTGTCTATTGGTTACCTGCATGTCTTCTTTGGAAAAAATGTCTGTTTAGGTCCTCTGCTTGTTTTTAATTGATTGGATTTTTTATTTTGTTTTGTTTTGGTGTTGAGTTATATTCTTTATGTATTTTGGACTTAACTCCTTACTGCATATATAATTTGCAAGTATATTCTCCCATTTAGTAGGGTGTCTTTTTGCTTTGTTGATGGTTTCCTTCACTGTGCAAAAGCTTTTTATTTGATGTAGTCCTGATAGTTTATTTTTGCTTTTGTTCCTCTTGCCTTAGGAGACATATTTAGAAAAGTATTATGGCTGGTGTCAGAGATATTATTGTCTGTGTTTTTCTTAGGAATTTTATGGTTTCAGATCTCACATTTCATTCTTTAATCATTGTGAGTTTATTTTTTGTGTGTGATGTTAGAAAGTGGTCCTGTTTCATTCTTTTACATGTAGTTCTCCAGTTTTCCCAACACCATTTATTGAAGAGATTGTCTTTTCTTCTTTGCATGTTCTTGCCTCTTTTGTCTTAGATTAATTGACCATATAAGCATAGGTTTATTTCTGGGCTCTCTATTCTGTTCTGTTTATGTGTCTATTTTTGTGCCAATACCATTGTTTTAATTATTGTAGCTTTATAGTGTATTTTGAAATCTGGGATTGTGATACTTCCAGCTTTATTTTTCTTTCTCAAGATTGCTTTGGCTATTTGAGGTCTTTTATAGTTCCATACAAATTTTAGGATTGTTTGTTCTAGTTCTGTGAAAAATGCTTTTGGTATTTTGATAGGTATTGCTTGGAATCTGCAGATAGGTTTGGGTAAGTATAGACATTTTAACAACACTAATTCTGCCAATCCATGAGTATAGTCTTTAATCTTCTTGGTTATATTTTAGTATTTCTGGTGCAGTTGTAAATGGAATTATGTTCTTAATTTCTTCTTTCTAGTGCTTTGTTATTAGCTTATAGAAATGCTACTGATTTCTAGGTATCCCGCAATTTCACTGAATTTATTCTAGTAGTTTTTTGGTGGAGTCTTTAGGATTTTTTATGTAGAATGTCATATCATCTGCGAAGGCACCCATACTGGATGGATATTAAACTGTCACAGTTTAGCAACTTCTTTACCAGTATGGATGCCTTCTATTTCTTTTTCTTGTCTGATTGCTATAGTTAGGACTTCCAGGACCATATTGAATAAAAGTGGTGCTCTCAATTTTATTGATCTTTTATTTTTTATTTAAATTTATTTATTTATTTATTTACGTAATCTCTACATCCCATGTGAGGCTGATTTCAACACCCCAAGACTGAGTCACATGCTCTTTTTATTGAGCAAGCTAGGTGCCTCTTACTGATTTTTTTTCTATTGTTTTTTTAATTTTTATGTCATTTATTTCTGCTCTGATCTTTATTATTTTCTTCAACTCACCCTGGACTTTGTTCTTTTTTTTTTTTAATTCCTTTATGTGCAAGTTTAGATTGTTTATTTGAGCTTTTTCTTATTTCTTGAGGTAGGGCTGTATTGCTATATATTGCCCTATTAAAACTGCTTTTGCTGCATCTCAAAGATGTTGGTTTGTTGTGTTCTCATTTTCATGTGTTTCCATAACTCATTTAAGTCATTGAGTCTTAAGTACCAAAATAGAGTGTCAAGTAATAGTGATAGAAAGACTTAATTTCTGATGGGGAAATGAACTGATATATTGTCTCAGGCCAACTCTCATAAACATTCTGGTTACTGCTTATCTTGATAGAGTTAATTCAGAAACTGACTCCCGAAAACAAAAGTTGAGTATGACTTTTTAATTGACACTTTTCTTATGGTTAAGAATTATGGTCCTTTGTGCATATGAATGAATTAGAAATAAAAATTTAGATTATTTCCCTATTTATCTTTTTTTTTTTAAAGATTTTATTTATTTATTTGTCAGAGAGAGAGAGAGAGCGATCATAGGCAGCCAGAGTGGCAGGCAGAGGCAGAGGGAGAAGCAGGCTCCCCACAGAACAAGGATCCCGATGTGGGACTCGATCCCAGGACGCTGGGATCATGACCTGAGCCGAAGGCAGCTGTTTAACCAACTGAGCCACCCAGGTGTCCCCCTATTTATCATTTTTTAAACATTTTTATCATTGATATAATTTACATACTGTACATTTGTCCCTTCAAATTGTATAATTCAGTGGTTCTTAGTATATTTACAAAGTTGTACAGTCATCACCATTTTCTAATTCCCTTAAAGAAACTCTATGCACTTAGCAGTCATTACCCATTTCCCCCTCCTTTTATCCCTTGGAAGCCAGTAATCTACTTTCTGCCTTTATGGGTTTGCCTGTCCTGGAAATTTCATATGAATGGAATCCTGTAGCATGTAGCCTTTGAAGTCTGGCTACTTTCACACAGCATAATGTTTTCAGGGTTCATTCATGGTGTAGCATGTATAGTATTTCATTCCTTGGTTCTTTAAAAATACTCCATCGTACAGGTACACTACATTTTGTTTATCTGTCCATCAGTTAATGGATACTTGAGTTGTTTCTGCTTTGGGGCTCTTAAGAATAATGTTGCTATGCACATTCATGTACAAGTTTTTTATGGTCACATGTTTCCATTTCTTTTGGATGTATGTCTTTAGTTTGTAATTCTTGTTGCTGTTCCTTTTGTTAGTGATTTTACTGAATTCCCCAGATTTTGTACTTTTTGTCATGGTTGGCCACTGAAATCTCTGATAAGTTAGCTTAATGGTCATCTTATTGTTTGAGCTTTCCTTAAATGCCTTGATCTAATAAGTCTCACAGCCTTTGCTAAGTGATTGTATGTACATGTTGGAGTATGTCTTCATTGCTCCAAAGAGAAGCTTTTAACTCTGATTTAGTCTTTATTCCACATTAGCAGAGAGCCTCAAAGTCAGCCAGTGATTAGAAATGAGGGTCTTTCTTGGGTAAGCACACAGCCCTGCATAATATATGCATGGCCTGCTTGAGTCCCAGGAATATATCAGAGTATTTCAAAGACCTCAGTGGAACTCTTATTCCTGAACTTTTCATTTTAAGGTTTATGGTTAGCTTCTTGTTTGCCCCAAATCTTACTGCCTCTTCAGTCAGTTGGGATGTCACAGTTACCATTGGTTGGTTTTTGTTTTTTTGTTTTTTTTAAAAAAGATTTTATTTATTTCTTTGACAGACAGAGATCACAAGTAAGCAGAGGCAGGCAGAGAGAGAGGGGGAAGCAGCCTTCCTGCGGAGCAGAGAGCCCAATGAAGGGCTCCATCCCAGGACCCTGAGATTATGACCTGAGCCAAAGGCAGAGGCTTAACCCACTGAACCACCCAGGTGCCCACCATTGGTTGTTTTTGACAAATGTCCTGGGGAGAAGGCTATTTGCAGTGAGGGAACTCTGAATCAGGTCAGAAAAAGACAAGGCATGCAAAATGGAGATTTCCAGGGAACTTCCAGACATGTCAAATAATTACAGTTTCCTGAGGCTAGGACTTTTGGAGAGTTCTAAACCTATTCTGCTCTAATTCTGAACCTATCTTCCCCTTAGTGGTTGTTAGGCCATTATTAGGTTATTAGGTGTTCTGGGCTACCATGATTGTGAGACTGCTGGTTTTCAAGGCTACCATAGAAGTGGGAAAAGGAAGATGGGAATAGGGCAATTTAAAATGTTTCAGATCTCACTGTTTTTACTGAGATCAGCTATTTTCTTGAGTAAACACTTCTCAGATTATTGCAGGCTTTTGGTAAATTTCCATGGTTTTAGGAAAGTTGATTTTGATGATTTTTGCTAGTACTCTGAATGATTTCATGGAAGAGTGAGTTTTTGGAGTTCATTTGGAAATGCTCATCTTCCCTATTTGTCACTAATATTTTTAAAATGTTAGATATATAATGTCTCCTGTTTTATGGGAGAGATTAATATATCGCATCTTTATTACCAAGCCTTTGGTGCTTAGTATGATATAGGAAATAAACACATTAATGGATTAATTCTGGTTTTCATATTTTATGTATTTGTCACTTATTTATTATGCATTTATTGAACATTTACATTGTGTTGGGTAGTTGAATACAACTAAATAAGGCATTGTCCCTGTTTCAAGGAGCTCTGAGTTTGGTGAGTAAGATTAAGAAAAAAATCAACACCTATAAGAAAGTGTGAGTGTTACAATAGAAAGATCTACTAGAAGCTGTAGAAGATTCATCCTCAAGGCCTGGCACACCATCATTTCTTACTTGGACTATTTCATCAGCATCATCAACATTATCATTTTTGTCTTTTCAGTTTCTGTATCACAAGCAAGATTATCTTTACAGAATGCAAATTAGATTATGTCACCCATGTCTCTGTAAAATCTTTCAGTGATTTTCATCAAGCATAGGTTCTAGTCCCAGAATCTTTCTTCTAGCCTATAGCTGTCAGAAATATTTGATAGCTTTTGCCCCTCCAACCTATAACTCCTGTTTTCATGGTAGTGGCCTCAGTCCTGTTCTGGAACATGGCGCAACTCTTTGTCTCAGTCTTCACCTGCATTGTTTTTTGTGCTGGGAATACCTATTTCCCAGCTCTTTGCTCCCAGCTGACTTCTAATCATTCTGATATCTGCTTAAATATTACTCCGTAGCTTCCCTAATTACATGGCTCCTGTTCTGATTTATATATTTTTATCTTACCCTGTGTTCTCCTCTTATAATCTTTATCACAGGATTTTCATATTTATATATTTGAAACTATATATTTATTTTTGTGAATATTTGTTTTATCTGTATTCTGCTAGAATATAATCTGAGAGGAGGAATGTCTTTTTGCTATACTATACTCTTAGTTAAAATTCATAAATGAAACAATCAGTCAATAGAAAGCATTGAAACAAAATATAGACTGATCTGAATTTAGTTTAGAGGGTGCCCAGTTCTATCACGTAGCAATGCTTATGTAGTCTCAAAGGAATAATACATAGTTAGTCAGATGAAAAGAGGCAGGATGTTCTTGGATGTGCAAAAGCCCAGAAGTGTGAGAAAATAAGATTTAGGAGACTGATTGTCAAACTTTTTGGTTTTAGTACCCCTTTATGGTCTTAAAATTGAGGCTTCCAAAGAGTTGTGTTGTTTAATGCAGGTTATATCAGTATTTATCATAAAAAATTGAAACTGAGAAACTTAAAAAAAAAACACTTAATTCACTTAAAAATAACAGTAAAGCTACTACATGTTAATCTAAATAACACATCATCTATGAAAAATTTAAAAAATGGTAATAAGAGTAGAATTATTTTTCAGTCTCTTACGTGTTGGGCTTATTTACTAAGAGAGACACCAGCTAGGTTCTTAGGTCTACTTCTTCATTCAGTCTGTTGCAATATGTTGTATTGGTTGCAGTCTATGAAGAAAATCTGATACCACTCAAATAAGTGGTTGGAAAAGGAGGAACATTTTAACAGTCTTTCAGATAGTTGTGGATATTCTTCTTTGATCTTAAGCCAAAGCTTAACTTGTTAGTTACAGTATAAATTAGAAAACATCTCAGTGTATATTTGTACTTTATTAATTAAAATTCACTGGTCTTTTTTTGTGTGTTTTGTGGATATTTTACCTTGGTCATTCTGAAAATACCGGGTTGTAGATATTTTACCTTGGTCATTCTGAAAATACCTTGGTCATTCTGAAAATACCGGGTTATTGAGTTCAAAAGATTTTCCAAATGGTGACATGTTCATTATAAAGTATTAAAAACCATGTTCATTGTTACCATTATAAAGTTATTAGAAAAGTCTTAAAGTCGTAGGAAGCTGTCAAACTCATGGAGGTAGATACAAATTATATAAAATTCTAAAATTTTGCTTGAAAGGTTGAACTTTATCATTGGCAAAAAATACCGCTAGTTGTTTCCTTTGAAGTGACAGGCTCATTTTACTAATTTTTCAGAAATGTCAGCCAAATACCCAAGTCTGAATAATCATAGTTATTCAAGGGTGGGGGTTAATTAGCTTACTCAGAATCATATAGAGAACAGGTCTTTCTGTTATATTTTATTGCCCCATGTCTAAATTATTTGGGACTTGCCAAAGCATGTTCTTACAATAGTGTATTGTGGTATTTTTCCTAGAGAGCATGAATGGTTTAAACAAGATTTGCCCAGTTACTTATTTCCTGAAGACCCCTCCTATGATGCTAACGTCATTGATGATGAGGCTGTGAAAGAAGTGTGTGAAAAATTTGAGTGTACAGAATCAGAAGTAATGAACAGTTTATATAGTGGTGACCCTCAAGACCAGCTTGCAGTGGCTTATCATCTTATCATTGACAATCGGAGAATAATGAACCAAGCCAGTGAGTTCTACCTCGCCTCTAGTCCCCCATCTGGTTCTTTTATGGATGATAGTACCATGCATATTCCCCCAGGCCTGAAACCTCATCCAGAAAGGATGCCACCTCTTATAGCAGACAGTCCTAAAGCGAGATGTCCATTGGATGCACTGAATACAACTAAGCCCAAATCTTTAGCTGTGAAAAAAGCCAAGTGGCATCTTGGAATCAGAAGTCAAAGCAAACCGTATGACATTATGGCTGAAGTCTACCGAGCTATGAAGCAGCTGGATTTTGAATGGAAGGTAGGAAATTGTAATATCTTAAGATCATTTGTAAAAGTTAGCTTTATTTATTATTATTATTATTTTTTTGGTATAGTAAGCTGCTCTGATCTACTGAGTTGAGTACTTAGGTCTCTAAAAAAGTTGTTTTTTATTTAGATACAAATTTAGTGGTCTTGGTGTTACTGGATGATAAACCCCATTTTTTCCATTAATATACCAAGTGCATTCCAAACTAAACACAGTTCTGAAAGCATGAAGAGTTGTTGATGCTGCGGACCTACAATATTTTTAGAGACTAGCATTCTTGGCCAAGAAACAGAAAGTAATCAACCTGAAATCACCTGAGAAAATAGTCCACCTATTTCTGTCTGCATCATAGCAATAAAAAGTCATGTGTCTTTGAAGATGCTGTGTTTTTACTTTTCTCTCTTTTCTTTTTCCTGCTAGCTATAACAGCTAGGGGTCAATAAAAGTGATACCATCAGGACATATTTATTCAGTCAACAAATACTTTCCTCTAGGGGCGCCTGGGTGGCTCAGTGGGTTAAGCCTCTGCCTTCAGCTCAGGTCATGATCTCAGGGTCCTGGGATCGAGCCCCACATCGGGCTCTCTGCTCAGTGGAGAGCCTGCTTCCCCCTCTCTCTCCGCCTGCCTCTCTGCCTCCTTGTGATCTCTGTCTGTCAAATAAATAAATAAAATAAAAAAAAAAAATACTTTCCTCTAGGTTAGGAAAATCTCTTTTATTTGGCTAGTGCTTTTAATCCTTGGTTATGGTATATTTTTCTTACTCTTAGCTCCCAATTTTCTTTTTTTTAAATTAGTGCTCAAATTCATTGCAATTCTATTTGAGTATATGTGGGAGGGAAAGCATTTTTTTTCATTTCAGATATCTTTTACTCTTCTTTTCTTGAGGACTATGAATGTAGTTTTAAAGGCAGAATAAAAATATTCAAATATACCTTGTGTATATTCATTTGACATGTTTGAAACATCTATCATTTTCATTTTATTTGTACAAGAAATGAATAAACAAGATAATAGTTCCTTAAAACCATTTAAAAACAGATATGCTTTTTCTTAAGCAATTTAGTTAAAAGAAAGACATTAATTTCTTTAAAATTCCATACTGAAAAAAATTTGGAACTCATTTTTCTTTTAAAGATTTTATTTATTTAATTAACAGTGAGAGACGCAACGAGAGAGGGAACATAAGAGGGGGAGTGGGAGAGGGAGAGGGAGAAGCAGGCTTCATGCTAATAAGCGGGGAGCTGGATGTGGGGTTTGATCCCAGGATTCTGGGATCATTACCTGAGCTGAAGGCAGACGCTTAACGACTGAGCCACCCAGGCGCCTTGGAACTCCTTTGATAGATGTTTTGAAAACCCAGAATCATCTTTATCTGGGCTGCAGTTTTCTTCTGTTCAAAGGGCAGATAATACTTCTTCACAGAATTATTGGAATACATAAATTTTGTGACAGTACCTGTTTATACTTCCTAATGCAAACTATTAATGTTAGTTCTGTTTTGTTCCTCCTACTCCATATTAATAGGTAAAGGTATTCAAGTTGAGGCTGGGTGACCGGAATTGTTGTTGACATTTTAGAGCAAAGGCATAGCTAGAATGAAGGCTGGACTTTACATAATCTCTGAGTTCCCTTTAAATTTCTAGTGATCTGCACAGACAGTCCTATTAGTGGAGATTAAATAAATACTAAATACTAAAGTGTCATGTAATATTAGAAGATGATTCAGGAGTTCCTTCTCTACCCCACCTGTCAGCTATTTCAATATTCTTTGCAACAAGAATAAGGGAGATACTGTAGCTTGTTATTTTTAACATTTTTCCTTAAAAAATGTTTCTCACTTTAGGTAGTGAATGCATACCATCTTCGTGTAAGAAGAAAAAATCCAGTGACTGGCAATTATGTGAAAATGAGCTTACAACTTTATCTGGTTGACAATAGAAGCTATCTTTTGGACTTTAAAAGCATTGATGGTAAGGAAGCTATGCAGGCATGAGCTCTGAGAAGATAAAACTTGGCACTAGTTGATAAGATGTTAAAATCATCTCAAAGACATGGTGGGTAGGTCTTCTATGCTGGTTTTAAAGTAATCTAGAGTTAACTAAAAATGCAAGTGAAATGAAAAGGATTGAAGACATGGGTATCTCTAACCCAGCACTTCTTCAAAAGACGTGCCTCCTTGGCATAAAAAGCTCGCTTGCAGTGGTGTTGGTTGTGGAGCTAAAGTAAGGAATAACAGGGAGGCAGTTTTTACCTAATATTGTGTGATGCTGTCCGGTTCTTTGTCACATTTCTTCATTCATATTTTCTTATTGTTAGGATTATAGTATCTAAACCTCTCTGTTCATCAACTTTCCTCATCCTGGTTGGCCAAATGAGTCTCTCCTTGTATTCAGGTTGGATTTTGATGACCCAATCCTTTAGGAGATGAAGGAATCAGGAAGGTGGTTGTGGTTTGTGTCTAAGTCTTTAGTGGGTGCCAGAAGTCAAACCCTCATGAACCAGATGTTCAGTCCAGAGGCCCAAGTGGGATAAAAACAGTAAGCCAGGGGTCAGGTGCAGGACAGAACCAGAGGAGAACTGAGTTCAGAGTTAGGGAAGTTGTTTTCAACAGAACAGTTAAATTTTATTCTGAGCTATCACTGCCTGTCATCAGAATTACCCAGCGTTCTTAGTAAAATGCAGATTGTTGGGAACTACGCCCAGATCTATCAAATCAGAATTTATTTCTAGAGGTGAGTCCTGGGAAACTGGAAATCTTTATTTATTTGTTTTTGTTTTTTTTTTTTTTAAGATTTTATTTATTTATTTGACAGATCACAAGCAGGCAGAGAGGCAGGTAGAGAGAGCGGGCGGGGGAGGGGGTGAGGGGAGAAGCAGGCTCCCCGCCAAGCGGAGAGCCCGACTCAGGCTCGATCCCAGGACCCTGGGATCATGACCTGAGCCAAAGACAGAGGCGTTAACCCACTGAGCCACGCAGGCGCCCCTGGAAATCTTTATTTTTAACAAAATTTCCTTACCCCATGCCCAGGCATTGTGTACTGAAGGTTCAGAAGCACTGTATAATGGTAACTTTTTATTTTAATGTTTTTTTTTTTGTTGTTGTTATGCTGCAAGAAAATAATCATTCAGGGATATTCTTTCTTCAAATGGGATATCAGTTTAAATTCAAGGCTCATGCCAAATACTATGTTGAGAAGGATTTAGGGGTGACGTTTTGACTGTTAGTGTTGTAGTTGATGAGTGATGTCTGTGATAACTGTGAGAGGGAAGGGCTATTGCTTCTCCAGCTCTTAAAACTCTGACACATGCCATCCATGAAGTTTCCCTTGTTCAGATATGTTTACTCAGTTTTCTGAATATAGCATCTTCATAGGAAGGGCTTGGGCAAATATACCTTTCATATAAATTGCTCTTCTTTCATCCATTTCAGATGATGTGGTGGAGCAGAGGTCTGGTTCTTCAACACCTCAGCGTTCCTGTTCTGCTGCTGGCTTACATAGAGCAAGATCAAGTTTTGATTCTGTAACTGCGGAGAGCCATTCACTTTCTGGCTCTCTCACTGGCTCTTTGACTGGAAGCGCATTGTCTTCAGTTTCACCCCGTCTAGGCAGTCACACCATGGATTTTTTTGAGATGTGTGCCAGTCTTATCACTACTTTAGCCCGTTGATGGTGTTTCTTTAATTTCTGTCTTTCTGTTATAGCACTGTGAAAATCAGATAGATTCTTAAAATTATTATTTTACTTATGGATATCATACACTCTGGAATACTGATGGAGAGTCATGAATATTTCCAGGGGACACTCAATGCCATTGAAATTATTGAAAACAAAAAACTCCGACATTTTCCTTACCTATAGACGTCTGTACTTCTGTTTTGCCTATGATAAATTCATAGAGGCAGTATCTTTAATTGGCGAACATTGATGAAGAGTATTGTTACTTTAAAATTGTGAGTTCACTACAGAGGATTAATATACCCTCACTGGTGAGTCATCTCAGTCAAAGTGTGGTTTGGCAATACCTCTTTGCTCTACTATTTAGTGTAGGTAAATCCAGTTTATTTCCTAAAGTTCAGAAGGCTTTAAACTGTGTCATGCACCCAGTCTTCTTGCACAAGATTTAAAAAAAAAATTAACACAGCCATTAGTAAGATGGTATTTAAATGTTGAAACCTTAAAGGCTGGCCCCCAGAATTTTGGAAGCCAAGTTCTTCTAGTAGTTTTAGGTTTTGAAAATACTGCCTAGTGTTTAACAGAAGGGTTGTGGTCCTGAAACAGGTAACTGGTTTCCAGGTTCCTTAAAAACAGCTTATAACCAGCAAGAGATTTTATTCGAGATTTCCTTGGATAATATATTTACGTAAGAGTCTTCGGTGTTCTACTCAGTATTAGAACACCTGAAATTACAATTTTTGGTTTTTCATAAAAAACATTTTTTTTAAACTTAACATCATTTTAAAACATGCTTTCGAAACTACCTTTCTCAAATTCTTTTTGCCTCTATTTATTTTTGTATTTCACCAAGCATGATAAAATAGTTAAATGAAGCAAAGCAAAATACCAACAGTCCCTTAAAATAGAACTTTTACCTTTGATTTAATGTATGTGGTGGTGGGGAGTGTGTGCATATGTCCCCCTGCATCCCACAATGCTAATTCTTCATCTAAAGTTCAAGTTTGTTACCACAACCACCCCCCCCATCCCCACATTCCCACCACCAGTTTCTTTGTTGTCTGATCCTTAGTGGCTGATTTACTTAGCTTTTAAATCTTTTCTGGGTCCCTTTCTTTGTTCTGAATCTTGGTTGCTAGCCATCCAGTTTGAAAACACTGTTCTGGCCCTAAGGGCTTTTCTGTACCTCCAAAGCTTATTAGGTTGTGACCTTACCTGTTGAGGCTGTTAGGCTAGGAAAGCCTTAAACATTAAAAAAAAAAAAAAAAAAAAAAAATCTCTCTTGAATAAATGTATATGTTGTTTACATATATACATATATGTATTCACACACCAGTGCTTTTAAAGGAAAAAAACCAAACAGTTTCTTTGTTTTGCTTTGTGCAGGTTTTTTTTTAAAGTTTAAAAAGAAACCTATATACAGCAGATTAGATAATAGCTCATTGCTTATATTGTTTTAGTCAAAGTATTTAATTTTTAAATTATGTGTAATTTATCTAATTTGTATTTATTCATTTGTTTAATGTGTTATAATTACACTCTCATTCACCTGACTTACCCTAGATAAGATTAAGCTCTTGAAAACAGGTTTCTGTTTGCCAAAAATAATGTTTTCTACCAAGAAGCAAATGAAAATCTTTGGCCAAGTTTCTCTTATGTTTTTGGAAGATAAGCATGTCTGTCTTTAAGTAGTTTCGAGTCAGGAGTTTGCAGTGTGTCACATCATATTGGTTTATAGAACTTTTTAAAAACGGTGTTAAGTAACTTTTAAGTCTGACTTCATAATATCTAAAGAAATCTTTGCTAGCCAATTTGGGATAAAGGGTGGGTTTGCATTGAACTCTTTTTAAGTTTAAACCTTTGAAAGATTGCCATCTAGTGGCATCAAAGGGTACTTTTTGTGATTGTTTTTAGAGGGATAAGCGTCCTGCTGTGTGTTATACATAGGGCATAATTTTAACGGCTTCAAATGTGTAAATACCTCTTTTGGGAAGAACAGGTCCACCTCATACGATTTGCTTGACTGTGATTGATCTTAGAAATAGGAATTCTGATAATTCCTTGTCCCTAATGACAAAATCCCTAACAATTTTGAAGGTGGAAAAACAGCAAGGAATATAGTGGCATTTTAGCTTTGTTAGTCGAATAAATCAGATATTAAGAACTTATTCATATAAAAATACTTTATATTGGTGATTATCATGTTTATTGAGAATTAAAAATATTATATACTATTTTCTCATTCTTGCCAGTATTTGTGAGTATCTACATTTTGATGGTTATCTGTTGAATTTTAGGAGAACCAGGGTTGCAGTTTCAGTTCTCTTATGCTTACATTTTTAAAGCACAGCTACTCTGAATCTAGAAGGAACAGTAAATTGCTTTATATTGAGGAGATTTCAGGAGGCTCAGTACGGCATAATAGGGGCCGGAACAATGTCATAGGAGGCTTTTGTTGCTAATGGGCAGGAAAAGGGAAAGAATCAGTTGCTAAATTCCCACATTTCAATCTTGTAAGCTTGTAATCAGGGGTGTGGTATGTGGTTAGATCTGCGGTGGGAAGAATTTCTTCAAGTTAAGATTTTGGAGGAGAGCTTCTATTATTAGGTTATAAAGAATTAGCTACATCATGGAAATGAACTCCATATGGTTCTACAATAGCATTTCCCACACTGTATCCCTGAGATGCTGTGCTGAAAAACGAGTCCATTGAGCAAGTTTGGAAAGTGTTATATGCCACACTCTTGCTTGAGGATGGAGTGGATATGAGAATTAAAGACTTTGAAAAGTCCTTCAGTGAAAAAAAGAAAACTTTAACCCTGCTTTCCCCAAATTAATTTAACTACTTTTAATCTTAATATTCCATGGGAAAAGGCAAATTTGGAAAATACTGTTTTAGGAAACTTATTGTCCCAAGTTGCTGTAATTAGTTAATTATAATATATATGTAATATGTATATTACATATATATAATAATATATGTAATTATATAATGATAATTAACATAGGAAATAATAGAATTAAGGTATCTTTTCTTCTTACCAGTTGCTGGATAGAATATGGTTCAGAATCAGAAAAATTTCATTTTAACCTGTGGACATCCTCATTTGAGCAAATGCTGGCCTAAACAAAATTTTGTATGTCTGTGATGTGTTTCATAGTACCTTGATTTTCTTAATCAGATTGTGGTATTGTTTGGGAGCAAAATTTATTATTTGTTGTGTTGAATGGATAGCTGAGAAAACTTAAAGCAGATTATTTGTTTAAGAAAAAAAAGGCCTAAGAAACTAGTGACTAATGCTTATTATGGCTCTATGGCTTTGTAGGCAATGAGTCTATGACATTGATTCTCACTTTCAAACTGTATAGTCCGTGAACATTTTCTAAATACAGGACACCATATTTAGATCTAATTCCTGTAATCTGTAACGTAGGAACAGATAAATTGAATGGGGAGGTAGGCAAACCTATTTCAAGTTGGATTTTGTTTTGATCAACAAACTTTTGGCACACTTTTGTAACCTCAAGTGTTTTGTTCCTTGGTATTAGTCTGCTATAACAAGAATCTAGGATCCTAAATTAATTGGAAGTACCAGTATTTCTCTGTCAGAGAATTGGCTGTATGTTTTACAGACAATTCTCTATTTTCTGCAAATAGGGTTCCCATGAGAGCTGCATAATTGTGGGTTGCTTTTTCTTATTCTCTACCAGTTTGTACTCAGGGAACATAAACTTTTTTTTTTTTTTATATTGGAAGAGACATAATTAAGAAAATAATCATAGACAACTGTTACAGGTTTTCTGACTGTTTGAATTTATCTGTAGCTTCTATTAATGTGCAGTATACTGAGTTAATATAAGTACTGTACCTTCCACTTATAAAATAGAAAAGCTTAGAATATGCTTCCCACAGACACGGTATCTTTGTGTGCCACTGGTTAATAATTTAAATCCTGTTGATGGCTGTGAAATCTCAATATCTAAATGCAAACCATGTTCATGGTTTTGTCTGTTTTTGTTTTTGTTTTTAAAGAACTCCATTTTTTCAGTCTGGCTTCTCTTTACCTGGTCATTCTGTCATTGTGTGACTTTTTAAATAGGGAAGGTAATTTATTTTAATAATCGTTCTCAGAGGCTCTATTGGAAATTCTGGATGAGGGATATGTGCAATCTGTTAGTAAATCACACCTATGTTGGACCTCAGTTTGTAACCTCTAAAGTGGGAGGATAGGCTCAAAGGCCTCCAAGGTACATTTGAGCTTTAAAGTTCTGTCTTTGCCTTTTTTGTGTGGTTGCGTTAGTGTTCACTTTTTATATATTTAGAGATTTTATACTAGTGTCAATGTTCTGTATTTGTTTGGTGAGGCATTTTAAAGGTTTATACTTGAAAAAAAATGTAAACACAGCTGGCCTCTAGAATACAAATGGCAAAAATCATCTAGAAAACTGAACACGTTAAAACATCATGTGCACTTGGCATAAGCAACATGTTACTAATTTGAAGTATTAGAAGCGTTCCATACTTTTTTATAGTGATTTTTAGATCCAGAGACCATGTCTATTAACATCGTTAATACCCTGCAGTAACCTTGTGAGGTATAACCATTTTCTAGTCGGGGAAGCAGGACCACAAAGCTCTTCATAAAGCTTTAATGCCGTACAAGTATTCAGCGATGACCACTGCTCTTTCTGCCCCACCTTCCTCAAGGGGAGAACAGTCCGGATCCCTGAGACCTCTGAGTAGTGGAGTAATAAAGATAAACCCAGATGTATTGCTTTCAAGTCTTTGAGTGACAGGAAGTAGTCTTAACTGAATATTTCTTAATTACTGGGACTGGTTGATTTTACTAACGAAAATTACTTATGATTACTATATTGATATTTATAAGTACTTTTGAATTATTGAGGGTGCTTATAAAATACGGAAGGTGTTTTAAGCATGATTCTTCCTTTAATTTTATTTACTTGATCCTTGTAGCACAGTCTTTTATAAAAAGTAAAAGTAGCTGCAGCCCCGATCTTAAATTATAATAGTTTTTGACTGTTATCTGAATTAGGTTTATCTAAATTTCATGTACAGATTGATGTTTCCTTTCGTATGGGTGTTTAGATGGTAAACACTGTTTTCATAGAGTAGATCTCTGTTCACAAACTACCTAATTGCTATTGGCTTGATATTCTCCCAGATCTTACAGAGCTTTGAAATGTCATCTGTTTGATGAGCTTTAAAAAAATGATACGTTACTTGAACAAGTTCCTGGCTTCCTTACTAGCCTTTCCACATATAATCTTGATGGATCTGATGCCACTGAACAGTAATAGCATAAAGTAAACAGTAAGAGCATAAAGAACCGGACTCACAGTGAGACTGGACTGAGTTTTAATTAAACTTTTTCAGCCAGAACCTGATAAGAGTCAGCCTGGGTCTAGAAGTTACCAGACTGTGGGCGGGTATTAGCGTAGTGAGCCAGTGTTCGCGTTTCCTGCCCTACTTGCAGAGCAGTGCCATTTGCAGCCATGACTGTGACGGGATTTCGGTAACTACTGTTTATATCCAAAGCAGTTTAGGTTTTGCGGAGGTAGCTCATGGTTATTTGGACAAGCAAGATAGGTAAATTTCAGTTACATTTAAAGTGCAATTAA